CTAGAACTACAAGCAAGGAAGGTGGTGTGGGAGGAGACACAGTGGCATTCCACCCTGCAGAGGCCCCCTGGACCTGGCAGGGCACGGCATCTGTCAAATGTGACCAAATGTGGGTCTGTGCAGCTGTGAACCTAAGTCCTAATGACATTCAAAGTCAGCAGGAGACAAAAATTGGCAAGCCTTTTTGAACACACAGGAGTTCCAGCACCTTCCTTGTCAGAAGAGCCCAGATTCCAGGTAGGGTGAAGGTGCCCTATGCCCTTGCTACAGGGGTCTGTGCCCCCAGCCAAATCCTCCTCCCCCAGGCTGAACAGCAGATGGCTATGGTCCAGCAAGGACTGGTGTGGTATGGGGTACCATCTCTGTCCCCTTCCTGTCTGACCACTGCCCAAGGACTTCGCATAGAAGCCATGCCCCTCAGAGGTTGAATCTCCCCCTACTCCTTACCCTACTCTCCTACCCCTACTTATCAGCTGGGTTACCCCCCAGAGCTCCTGCTTCCTAAAGACAGCAAGGGCAGCTATTTCATCTGTTTGTTTTTTGGAATGTTCTGGGAATTCCATGTACAAACAGGCTCCTTTGCCTGCAAGATTCAAATGATGGGATTAGTAAAGCATTTTAAAGTTATGTGTTATCTGTGAATGTGGAGCCAAGTGAGTCTGAATGCAAGACAGGAATCCCCAGCCTAGGAGCAGCCTTACCAGCAGAGACATGGGGAACCTCAGCTCTCTCAGACCAAGAGGCTGAAGCACATGCAGGGAGCGGGGACAACCAGCTCAGAACACAGCCACCTGGCCCGCCCTTGAACCGAGCTGGGCAGCACGCAGGACCCTCACCAGCTGAGTCTGGCAGAGTGTCTGGGGTTGAATGAGAAGGAGCAGCCGCCATGCTGGGGGTGTTCAGAGATAGACAGATGGACAAGATTAAGGAGTTCTTTTGGAGCCAAAGAGGCTCCACCTCTGCAATGGATTGTGTTCTCTCCAGTGGCTTTTCCTCCTCAGGAGGCTGGAGTCTCCAGGACACAAACGTAGACACCCCTCTCTTTGGACAGCATCTGGACAGGGCAGGGATGGCAAAAACGTCAGCCTGGGCTCTGTGTGCAGAATGTGACCGCAGTTCAGCAGGGCCTCTGGAGGTGTCTGATCAGCTGGACAGGTTCCTTTTCTCATGTCCTGGACCACCAACTATCCCCTCTATAGGCCACCTCGGATGACACAAGGTGTGGACACTCACCAGCATGACACCCATCTGATTCCAGCTCCTATAATGGGCTTGGACCTGACAGGAGGAGGCGTCTGAGGAACAGAGGGAGGGGAGGAGGGAGGTGAAGTTGCACCCAGACCTCCTAAGGCTGTGCAGCCCCTTCCCGAGGCCTGGCTGCACACTGGCCTTGGGGTGCCATGAGCCCCCCACCCTGGATAGCCTGCCAGTCTCCTGATGCTTATAAGTTCATCTTCTGCAGACCCAGAAACAGACAGCACTCATTCACCTGCTGCACAGACCAGGACAGGAAGAGTGATACTGCCAGGAGTGGCTTAACTTGTCTCTGCAAGGGCCTCTAAGAGGGGCTGGCACAAAGGGAAGGATACTGCTTGGGCAAAAGATGACACTAGATATAAACACACTTACCTTACAAAAGGCTGCTGAGGAAGGTGGCTTTAATCAGGGTAGCAGAAGTCAGCTGGGGGCTTTCTGGCAGAGCAGGTTTTGCCAAACAGTGAGAACAGCTGGCGGGGAGGACTTCGGTGAAAGTCCAGACACTATTACAATGGTGAAGCAAACAAGGCAACAAGTAAACTCTAATGGGATGAGGGTGGGAGGGGTAAAAAGTCTCAGATGGCCCCAAAGCTTCTGGCCCACTTTCTAGGGGTCTGTGGCCCAGAACAGCTCCTGCTCCAAGCTCGCGCCTCCAGGTACTTGCTCCTGAGCACCTTTTAAGCCCAGCCTCTGCACCAATAAATCAGTCTCCCACCTACAAAGAGTCCATTCTTCTGCGGATCATTCCTTGATCCCCACCCTGAAGCAATTATCCCTGCCTCTGGAAACCCTCGACAATTTACTGGGTCTTCTTATTTATTTATTTAAGAGACAGGCTTTCATTCTCTGGCCCAGAGTACAAAAGTATGATCATAGACCACAGCAACCTCAAACGCCAAGTGATCCTCCTGCCTCAGCCTTGCAAGCAGCTGGGACTACAGGTGCCCAGCACCACTCCAGGCTAGGTTTTGGCGGGGGGTCTTTTTTCCCTTTTTCTTTTGTGAAGTCAAAGTCTCACTCTTGCTCAGGCTGATCTTAAACTCCTGGCCTCAAGTGATCCTCTCACTTCAACCTCCTACAGTGTTGAAATTACAGGTGTGAGCCACTGCACCTGGTCCAGTGGGGTCTTTAGTAGCATCTACCACTTCTATAAATACCTAAGAATGTTTTTGATTGTGGTACCTGTGTACTGGAGACAAAGAGAAAAGGGACCCATTACAGAGAACTGGCCAAAGGGCACCAGCTGCTCCAATAAATTAAGGGCTCTAACTTTCCTGATGGAATCAGGTGGATCATGTGCCCATCCTTGGGCAAACTCAGATGGCCCCCACTGAGCAGAATCGAGGGCCAGCACTGGAGAACAGGAACAACAATCTCCTTCCCAGAGGACACAGCTGATCTCCCACTGCTCTGGGCAGAGGCAGTTCTAATGGGAAGTTCCTGAGGATAAGGTCCAAGGCTCTGAGGAGCCATTGACTTCTAGGGATTTCATATTCTTTTTTTCAAAAGCGCCTATCCCCAAAATAAGTTTATATTGGAGGGGGGAAAAAACCACACAAATTAGGTCTTTAATTTTTGTGAGTCTACTATGTCTTGTTTCTTCTTCTTTTGACACAATTCCAGACTTAGAGGTATTGCAAGACTACTGTGTTTCCCCGAAAATAAGACCTACCCAAAAAATAAGCCCTAGCAGGATTTCTATGCATTTGTTAAATATAAGCTCTACCCCAATAATAAGACCTAGTGATTGGGTGTTGCTATGCAGCGTATCTGCATAGCCACAACATGCATTTCAGCGCGGAGAATAAGACATCCCCTGAAAATAAGCCCTAGTGTGTCTTTTTGAGAAAAAATAAATATAAAACAGTGTCTTATTTTTGGGGAAACACGGTAGTACCAGTATCCCTGTACCACCTTCCACCAGGTTCCCCATGTGAATTAAACTAAAATTGTAAGCCCCAACCAGGCCAAAGGCTATGAAAGACAATAACTGCAGGCCATCAATTTGTTCAATAGATCACTTGAGTCTGTATGTCTGTGGCCTGTCCCTGATTAACAGTCCTTCACTTAAAATACTTCAAGTCTTTAGACACTTGTGAACTAAATCTTAAGCCCCCCCCCAATGGTTGAGTGACTGTAACCCCTCTTGGCCAAAGGGATCCCCTAAGCCTGAGTTGCTAGCCATGTGAAAAGAGATCAGACCTGCCTCGTCACGCCCCCTCCTCCTTAGAGACATTCTTTATGACTCACTAAGGGGCCTAAGGCCATGCAAAACACACCGGCAGGTCCTCAGTATACTCAACAAACCACTGGAATCTATCCAGCACTTTGTCTCTGATTAACAGGCCCTTTCCCTTAACTCAGCCTTCCTTTTTCACTGACTTCTGGTCTATTAGACACAGCCTAACTCTTTCAGTCAGTTGTCAACTGAAGATCTTTTAAGCCCACCTATAAACTGTGCCCCCTCCCAAAATCCCACCTTTTCAGGTCAAACCAATGTATGCCCTTCCTGTACTGATTTGTGATTTTACCTGTAATTCCTGTCTCCTTTAGATGTATAAAACCAAATTATAACCCCACCACCGCGAATCCATTTGCTCAAGTTTTCTAGGCATGGCTCTTAGTCTTTAAATTATTTTACAAAGTATGGCTTCTTTTCTGTTAACATGCTTTACCCCCCAAAATTCTGCAAAATGAAGAATTATATTCTGAGCCAAGTAAGAGGATCATAGCCCAGAGTCACAAAGCCTTGAGCAAGTGGACTCCCTGTGGTTGGGTCAGTTTGATTTTATTCTTTTCAGGGAGCTATAAAGTCATAAATCAATACAGGGATGGTGTACATTGGTTGGGCCCAGAAAAAGTAGAACATCTTGAAGCTAGGAATTACAGATTATAGGTGGGTTCAGAGATGCTTTGATGATTCTTTGTGACTAAAGAAATGAAGCCTTGCCTAAAAGCTTGTAATGTTTTCAGATGCGGGAATCTGTTCATCAGGAAGAAGGCACCGGACATACACCCAGACTCCAGTAATATGTTAAGTAAACTCAGGACCCTGAGATGTAGTTCAGGATTTGTCTTGCGTGGCCCTTCAGCCTGCTAATGGGCTACACAGGACCTCTCCCAGAAGGGAAGGGGCATGACCAGGCAGGTCTGACCCCTCTCATGGCCTGCAGCTCAGCTTCGGGGTATTTCTGGGGTCCCTTTGGCCAAGAGGGGATAGCTAAAGATTTTATTTTCGCTCATAAGAAAAAGCTTCATTTCTTCAGTCACTTACAAACGCAAGGCTCTCTGAACCCGCCTGTAACCTGTAAGCCCCCCCAAAGGCGCCAGCTCTCCGGCCAAGCCCCGCACCCGCCTTGACTGCGGTTTTGCCCCAGTCCCGCCTCCCCGAAGGTCAGAAACCGAACTGCAGCCAAAGCCTCTGGGGCGCTCCCTCAGGGTCTCCTGGGGCCACGTTCTCCAGCCTGCGGCACTCCAGTGGAATAAATACCTTTAAATTATTTTACAGTTTGGGCTTTTTCCCGTTAACACTCAAATGCTTACTAACACTCCACCCCCTTGGGGAGTCCCGGAATCCTTCTGTGGGGGCGGTGCCTCGGACTTCCGCAGGGCACGCCGGGAGGGCGGCGCGAAAGGGTGACGTTGATTCCGCGCCGCACCCCCGAACTTGCGGGCGCGCGTGCGCAGCCGAGGCGCTGCTTCCCAGGGGGCCTCGCGGCGCGTCCACTTCCGGCGAACGGTGCGCCCGGAAGCGGCGCTCGGGCCGGCGAATCCTGGGGCGCCAGGTAGGGCGACGGCCGGAGGATGTGGGGCGGCCGGCAGCCCGCGGCGCGCGGCGCGTTCGTTCCCCCGCGTCAGTGGCGGCAGTGGGTGACTGCTCTCCCTTGAGCGCGGCGGCAGCAGCCGGCTGGGCTCCAGGCGGGCGGGGCCCGCGGCTGCGGAGCGGGCCGGGTCCGGGCGCGGGCGGGTGGCGCCATGTGGAGCGGCCGCAGCTCCTTCACCAGCCTGGTGGTGGGCGTGTTCGTGGTGTACGTGGTGCACACCTGCTGGGTCATGTATGGCATCGTCTACACCCGTCCGTGCACCGGCGACGCCAACTGCATCCAGCCCTACCTGGCGCGGCGGCCCAAGCTGCAGGTGAGCAGCGAGCTCTCCCACCCAGCTTCCCCGCGGCTGGGTGCACGCGCTGCCCCGGTGCCCTTGTTACGCCGCTTAGGAGGCGCCCGGTTCTGCTTATCTCCTGCCCTGGGGGGGTCCCTTGCCAGCTACACGCTTTGGCAGATCTTTCTTTGCAGTAGGCACATCCGACCCCGCCGTCCTGTCCGGGCCGGAGCTGTGTCCCTGTAGTGGCCGGCCGGCTGGCTGTCAGCTCGCTTGGTGGCTGTCGGTGGGGTGAAGGGGCGGGGGTTCCTAACCTGACGCTGCCGCCCTGACTCCCGCGACGCCCCTTTGCAGCTGAGCGTGTACACTACCACGCGGTCCAACCTGGGTTCTGAGAACAACATTGACCTCGTCTTGAACGTGGAAGACTTTGACGTGGAGACCAAATTTGAAAGGTATATGGGAGTGGGACAAAGTGCCAGCACTAGGGTAAACGTTATAAGAGTTAGCGTTAAGTTTACCTTGAAGAAGCAAATTGTGTTACAATTGTGTTACAAATGTATTGAAATGTTAGAATATTTTAATTGGAGACTTGTATGTAGAATGTAAATATTTAGACTTGAAAGTGGCGGATTATGGATTTGTCATTTCAGAAGTAGTGCACACTAGAGTCTGATGGTAGTGGGGTGCACAGCAGTGGGGGCTGGGGAGGTTCTTGCAATAGAAGCAGATGTCACACTGGGTTGACATGGTAGAGAATGAAGCTTGTTCACCACTATTGACAACTTATCTTTTCCTATTGGAAGTAGTTTATTAAATTACTTGTAAAGGAAGAGGGAGGGGGATGGAGGAAACAGTTTTGCAGAAAATCATTAGTGACATGTGATGTTAGAATAGATCAAACAACATGCACATATGTAGAGTAACTTTTATTATTACCTCTAATATATGGCTGATCTTTTAAATTGAGGTATAATTTTAAACATGATTTGCTTCTCAAGATTCTATGTTTTTCCATCTTCGTTGCCTGGGAGGTGTCAGATGAGAGTAATAAAATCTGAGACTTTGTATTGAAGTAAATGCCCCCTTGTTGGACCGCTCTGGTCAGAGAGCTGGAGACAGTGCACTGGGGAGGGGAAGCAGGCTTTCAGGTGCCAGTCTTCACCTGGCCACCCCAGCCCTGAGGCCTCAGGCAGTTTGTGACCACTGAGCCCGTGAAATTGAGGCAGAAAGTGCTGGCTCCTTTGCTTTTCACTTACTAGCAGCCCACTTTTTTTTTTTTTTTAATTTGGGAACATGTTTGTGTTGGCTCAAGTTTATAGGTATGACTACTGCCTCCTCTGTGCCAGGCCCTGTGCTGGTGATTGTGGACAGAGAGTGGGGTTTTTCTTTTCTCACGGCACTGAGACTAGAGAAGGAAAAAGGAATGAGTGCTCTTGGTTCTGCTCCCTGTAGCTCCCTTGGTCCTGCCTCGGCATGCGTTTCACCAGTAGTGGCCCCTAGAATGTGGGCAAAGCCCCACACTGCTGCTAAGCAGAGCCACTCAGATGTCATGGTATAGGCACACTCTTTATATTTGATTGTGAGATGTTTATCTTCCTTCGTGTTTCTCACATTAGCAGGAATTACTTAGAACTTTGGCCATAAGATTGCAAAGAAGGAATCCTAAGCAGGGGAATGTGTGGTGTATATGTGGGCATCCAGCTTGGTGACAGGCTATGCAATGAGAGTGAGGAGCCAAGTACCTGGGCTGAGACCCAGAGAACCTATACCCACTGTGGCTCTAGGGTGCTGGCACAAGCAGGGTCAGCCAGAGGCCTGAAAGTTGGTCTTTTGTGGCAAAGAATCTGCCATCTTCAAAATTATAGCCCCCCCAAAAAATAAAATTACAACCCCCCAAAACTACCTACATTAAATTTCTGATCATTTCTGGTAGTATCAAAGAAACACATGTAGCGTATGTGGCTCAGGTCAGTTTGTGGAACAGAGGTCTGAACTTTGCATTTGTGACTGTCTCATTGTGTTACTTAGTGCACTGAAGAAATCAGCTGGTGTCTTGGCCAGGCCCAGTTACCAGCTACTGCCTGGCTTCTTTAGCCCTGTGACTCCTCTGAGCCTCCTGAAGTGGAGGCAGGAAGTGCTAGTCCCTTCTGCTGTCAGTTACAGCTGCCATACTGTTAAAATACTCTTAGAACACATCTGTGTTTAGGACTACCAGTGAAGTCATAGGCAAGTGAGTTTCAGTTTCAAGACTGCTGAGCTAAAATTAATTGATTTGAAACAGCATTATTTATGAAGGTATTTGCATGGTCTCTGTGTATATAGACATAGAATATAATGTGTGTGGATGAAATAATTTGTTCTCTTTTAGGACAGTTAATGTCTCTGTACCAAAGAAGACAAGAAACAATGGCACTCTGTATGCCTACATCTTCCTCCATCATGCTGGGGTCCTGCCGTGGCATGATGGGAAACAGGTGCACCTGGTCAGTCCTCTGACTACCTACATGGTCCCCAGGCCAGAAGAAATCAATCTGCTCACAGGGGAGCCGGCTGCACAGGTGAGGGACTGGCTTGTTGCTGACAGAGGGGACTGTGCTCCCTCTTAAAATTGCTGTGTTTCTCTCTGCATGGGCACCCAACATCAAAGGCTGTGGTGACTTTGTTGGAAAGTGAAGCCATTTGGATGTTACTATCATGCATTTCTACCTTTCAGATAAATAATTCCCCAAGGGTTTGCAGATCAATTTTAACTCAGCTTGGGGCAGCTTAAGTAATCACTAGCATTCTTCTGTACCGCAATTCCCTCTCAGACCTTGGGCCCCCTCCAGCCCTGGGTAGCACCTGTCCCCTCCCCATGTCCTAGAGCTGTCATGCAGAGTTGGGCTCACATTATGTTATATACAGGACTGGACTGTTCTTGAATATTTAGTTTAAGAATTCAAAATTATCAGAAAGGTACATGTATGTTATATTTTACACTTCTGTAGAAAGCCGTCTGCACAAAGAAAAACTGGAAATCACATAATTGATCTTTAATAGGGCCATAGGTAAAATAAGGAAATTCCAGTGCCCATATGTGTTGACTAGAAGTTGATCATTCGCAGAAGGAGAAAGGTGGCAGCTTTTCAGAAAGCAGCTGTGAAATTGATCCAAACACAGAGGACCTCTCAGGCTTGAGGGTGGGTTTTGAAAACCCTGCCAGCGTCAGCTCATGCCTGCCCTGGTGGGTGTGCTCCTGCTGTGGTCACCCTGTGTCGGCTTCTGTGTCCCTTTGTATGGGGACAGCAGCCCCCCTCAGGCGTCCCAAGGAGTGAGATGATGGACGTGCGGCAGATGTGAATAAATACAAGCAGTTGCTGTATTTGGAAAACTGTTTTTCATGTAAATTATTGTATCTAGTTATATTGTTACAGATGTGTCTTTAGGAAATCAGATAATACCGTTTCATAGAATTTACAGATCTAAAATGACTTAAGATTTGCCTGTCAGAGTTAAGGATGGATGCCTGGCCCTGAACACTTCTCCCCACCTGGACACCCTTACACAGTTGGTTTACAAGCTGTCTTGTTGGGCTCTTAATGCCCACAGGGCTGAGCTGGTTGTACACTTGCTCTGTCTACATAGGGTCTCGCTCTTCTCAGGGTCCCAGAAGTCACCTACTTATGTTGAGGACCCTAAGAAAGGAATTGGTCAGATCTGTGAGCATGTGTTGCAAGACCTCTCCCCGTGGCTTTCAAGGAAAGAAAGAAGGAGGGTGTGTGGTGAGGGTCTAGGGAAGTCGCCAGCCACGAGGTCCCTGTGGCCTCCCCATGGGTTCCTTCCCCTTTGGTGGCTGTCTGGATGGCCACTCTATGCATAGGTGAGCGTGCCAGCTGCCCTGCTGCCTCCCTCACCAACATGATTTTCATCTCCAGCTCTGGACTCTCTTTTTCCTCTTACTCAGCAGCAGATTGAAGCAGAGAAGAAGCCGTCAGGCGCCCTGGATGAGCCAGTTTCTCATTGGAGACCGAGGCTGACGCTTAATGTGATGGTGGACAACTTCGTCTTTGACGGGTCCTCCCTGCCGGCTGATGTGCACCGGTACATGAAGATGTGAGTGTTGTGCCTGGAGCAGGCAGCACAGAGGACAGAGGGTGGTACAGCAGCAGGGGTAGGGGTCCCCTGGGCCCACGCCAGCCAGTACCCCGTCAGGCCTTGCCTACACCTGGAGCCTGGGGCCCCCAGCTCTTCCCACCACCTCTTCAGGGTCATGCTGACCGAGATTTCCACCAGGGATCAGAGAGGACATGAGTGAAGTACGGGCAGGTCCCTCTAGCCCTCTGCTCCGGGAGGGCTTCTGCTTAAATTATGTCACTTCAGGCACTGCACCGTTTCATCACCTCAACTCATGTAAACTTACTTAAAATACATTTTTAGATCATTACTTTAGTTATTATTTGCCATTATTTTAGTTAAGTACAGCCATTAAAATTAATGTGTTAGGCACCTTCGATACCTAATGTTTCTTGCCCTCTGAGAAGCACAGGTAAGCCCTGATCACGTGCCATGAGCCTCTGGCATGACCATGATCAGAACGGCTTTTCTTCACTGGTGGTGATGCCTGTGGTGCTGCTACAGGGTTTGCGTGTTCTTTTTAGTAACTGAACTTTGTTTTAAGTATGTAATTCATGTGACTGAAAAGGGTGCAAAAAGGGTCACATATTGAAAAGCTGCCTCACTCTTCTCCATCCTGCCACACCAGGCGGTCATCCTGGTCTTCCTCTGCATTATAGGGCCCTGAGTCCACGCGCAGAGCCCTGGGCTCTGTCCTCTTGTGCGACAGGCCCTGTTGTCTCCCATCTCCTAGTGGCCAGGGGTTCTCTGTCCAGTCTGTGGCTGCAATTATGTGCGGGAGGGAGGGAGAGTGGGCCTTCAAAGGTGTGAATGTTGCTAGATTCTTCTTCTCTAGGAGACTATATCCAGGGACAGTTGTGACTAAGAACTCCAGAGTGGTGCCGGGTGGGACTTCTTGGGGGAGACTGGGTCCCTCTGTGGGCAAAGGTCCTTGTGCTGAATTTGGAAACTGTGCCCCCAGGGTCCAGCTGGGGAAGACTGTGCACTACCTGCCTATCCTGTTCATTGACCAGCTGAGCAACCGCGTGAAGGACTTGATGGTGAGTGACCCTCTGTCTGCCTGGCCTCTGTGCTAGTGAGAGGCTGACGTCCCCTCCATCTCTGGTAGGAGTCCTGCTGTCAGATGTGTGAAGCCTTATCTAGGGGCCCCAGGACCTGGTTGTGCTCTGGGTTTGCTGCTGGCCAGTCTGGGGTCTTCCCAACCCCTCCCTCCTGAGCCCCAAGTCCTCCCTGATGAAAGACTCAAAACATAACTTGTGAAGTGCTAGACAGCACGTGCTCTCACAATATGAGGTGCATCTGTGTGTGTCTTCTGACCTGAGGCTGGATCAGTTCAGAAAGCTGCTGAGTAAATGCCTTTTGTGGGGCTGGTCCTGCAGGAGGCCTGAGGAGCGCATCATGGGCCCTGCCTCCAAGCTCTGGCTCCTGGGCCTGTGGTCACGTGGCCAACCACCAGACTCTGGTGCCCTTGTGGCTGTTTCAGGTGGTGCCAGTGCCCATTTCTCCCATGGTCCCTTTGAGAGTAGCGGAAACATGGCTGACCGTTAGCTGATAGTAAGAATAATAGAAGTGGTTAATGTTTAATGTCACTGCGTGCCTGGCACATTCTGAATATTTCACCAACCACATGTGGAGGCTATGGTGCCATCATCTCACAGGCAAGGTTATTTGGGGTTAGGTGGTAACCTCCTGGGCTAGGGTCAGGTAAGAGCAAAGAGCTTGGATTTGCTGCCTTCCCAGGGACCAGTGCTGTTCCTTGGGAGCCCTCAATGAAAGCCAGGCTGAGTATTCTCCTACGGTTTTTGGTAACTGTGAAGTAGGCACATTCCCCATTTTATAGATGACAAAACAGCCCTAGGGTGAGTGGGGAACTTGCCAGTGGGTGAAACCAGTCAGCAGGGATCCAGGCACCAGGCTGCCTAGACCCTTGCCCATTGGGCTGCACTGCCTCCTGTGGACAGCTGTTTACTCAGGCCCTTTGAATACCTAACACACAGGGTCCTCTGCTTTTTGGAGCTCCATCCGCCTCTGTCCACCCTACAGGCTAGGCCTAGACAGTGGCCCACAGCAAGCCTGGCTGGCCCTCAGCCTCCCCTGAGCAGCCTCCTTGCCTCTGCAAAACTGGTTCCCCTCAGTTTTCTGGAGTTTGCTGTTTGTGAACCTCCTAACATGCCAGGTTCTTCTGAAATGCATGAAATGATACTTTGTAGACTGCAGTGCTGACCAAGTCACCCTCATGATGTCTGAGTTCCTGGCTCTTTGCAGGAACTCGGGGAACAGTGGATCACAAGTGGGCAGCAGCAGATGTCATACATCTGTCTGCAGACTGCCTGAGTGGAGGCTCCAGGGAGGTGTCTGTGGGGTACCTCCTTCAAGTGACCAGCTGGGTCTTAGCCCTGGAGTGTGGTCTGGGGAGAGGCTGGTCCTACTCTGAGGCGTCACAACTGTTCTGTCATGTGCAGCCAGGTTTCACGGTCTGCTGTGTTTAGAGAATAGCCAAGGCATCTAGTGCCAGCAGGAAGCAGGGCACTGCCTAAAGGGGCCTTGAGGGCTGCCCTGAGCCACAGCCCCTGAGCACTGTGTGGGGCACCCAGGATGCCCAGGCCTGGTGTCTGGCCAACCTGACACACTCTGGCTGCTGATTCCAAGTGCACCATGCCCTTGCCTCCCGCAGATGAAAGGTTGAGGTGCAAGCCAGGACAGGGGCTTGACTAGAACAGCCTCACTGGACATTCCAACACATGGACTGTGGCCCTTATGCATATGTTGGACCCCCAGGGTGGTCACTGCCCATGTGCTGTGGGGTGAGAGCCACTTTTGTGAGCCCCATTCCATCTCTTCCCACCTTATTGGCCTAGGACCTGGCCACCTTGGGCTGTGCACATAGGCTCCCACATGCTGCTCTGGGGTGTGTGTGCCGTGGGTCTGTGTGTCCCCCATGTGGTTTCTGGCTCCCAGGTAGGTGCTGAGGCCCCATAGGCCATGCTCTGCTCTGCCCTCTGTGCTGCAAGTTGCCTCCATGCCTGTTGCTTGGCAGGCCGACAGACAGGGTGCTGCTCGTGTCACTGGACTTGGGGAGAATGTGGTCAGAGGAGGTGTGCGGGGTTAGGTAGGTGGAACAAGGACACTGCTTGTTCTGTCCCCACAGCACCAGTGGCTGGTTGAGAAGGGGCAGAGTCATAGCCCAGCCTGGCTATGGGGGCCCAGGCAGGAGCTCTTGCTGGACCATCCTGCAGTCAACCTGGGCAGTGTCCTGAGGGTGACGTGGACAGGGCCATCAGGGACTCTGAGAGATGGCCTGTTTAGTGAACTATCCATGTGTGGTGGCATATTTTCACAGGTGACTTTCCTCCTGCAGGTCATTAACCGCTCCACCACCGAGCTGCCCCTGACTGTGTCCTACGACAAGGTCTCGCTGGGGCGGCTGCGCCTCTGGATCCACATGCAGGACGCTGTGTTCTCGCTGCAGCAGTTCGGTGAGCGGCAGGGTGGTCTGTGGTGCATGCCTGTTGTCAGCAGCTCTCTCACACTTTGTCTCCAGTTTATCTGTTTGGAAATGACCTGGTTGTTTACATGGTGTCTGGAAATTTGCTTTATTAAGAATGTAATGTTTGGTTCGGCACCCATAGCAAAGTGGTTACAGCACCAGCCACATACACCGAGGGTGGCAGGTTCGAACCCAACCCAGGCCAGCTAAAAAACTACAACAAAAAAAAGCTGGGCGTTGTGGCAGGCACCTGTAGTCCCAGCTACTTGGAGCCTGAGGCAAGAGAATCCCTTAAGCCCAAGAGTTGGAGGTTGCTGTGAGCTGTGGCTCTGTCTCAAAAATTGAAATGCCACAATTTTGGCCAACTGAACCTTTGCTGCTAATGAGATTTGTGTTTTGTGCATTTAGAGATGTCTTTGTGAGTGAGGAGGTCGGAGTGGCTGTTTCATGTTGCGTCTATTCCTTGCAGGGTTTTCTGAGAAGGACGCAGATGAAGTCAAAGGCATCTTCGTGGACACCAACTTGTACTTCTTGGCCTTGACCTTCTTTGTTGCAGCGTTCCACGTGAGTCATCACCTCATCTGGTCAGGCTGCAAGAGGCAAGGGTATGGGGGAGGCTCTCTGCCCCCCCCCCCCCGGGTCGCCAGGCCTGGGGCTAGCTGGGCTATTCCTCAGAAATACCCAGCACACCTGAGCCTGCAGCTGCTGCCTTAATGGCCCTTCTCCTGGCTCAAGGGGGCCACAGAACACTGTCTACAGCCTCCAGGACTTTGGGGGCAGTTGTAGAACCAAAATGCTTTGAGTAATGTTCCTATCAGTTAGATTAATGAATGTATTTGCAAAATTATTTTATATGTCTAAATTCTCCCTGACTTTAAGATATGAAAATCAGTCCTGTATACATACAGTAGTCCCTCATATCCTCTGGGGTCCCTCATGGATGCATGAAACCTGGGTAGTGCCAAACCCTCATACCCTGTGTATTTTCCCTTGTGCACGCACCTCCAGGAAGGTTAGTTCGTGAGTGAGGTGTGGTAGAGACTGGCAACAGCACTAGTAGCAGAAAAGTCACAACAGGGCGTGGTGATGAATGCTGCATCACTGTGTTCTCACTCTCAGATCACCTTCCTGGGCTGTGGCAGCTGATGCCACGGGCAGCAAAACTGCATATAGGGGCTGCTATACCCATGCTTTTGTACATGGCATCTGGAGCTGTTGGGAGAAAGCTGTCCAGGGCGGAAGGTGGGACAGCACCAGGGTGAGCCATTAGTGTTGGCTTTGAGCACCTGAGAGTTTGGCTGCCATCTGAGCTAAAACTTTCCAAAGCCATATTGGGAAGTGAAGTGATGATTTTTATTAGCAGGTCAGTGTCTTGGCAGGTGTGGTGGTTTGCTCCTATCTCAGCTACTTAGGGAGCTGACGCAGGAAGATCCTTTACCCAGGAGTTTGAGGTTACAGTGAGTTGTAATGATGCCCCAGCACGCCAGCCTGAAGTATCTCTAAGGATGAGCTTGTGCGTTTTTAATGCAGTGAGAGGTGAGACCGCCCTTGTTGGTAGCAGCAGCTTTAGAGCAGGGCGTCTGTGTCTGACCATCATGTGACCTGAGAGTCAGAGTAGAAGGTGAACATCTCAGCCCCTCATGACCCTTCCCGTGATCTGAGTCAAAGATGCACCTTTTAGACGTGTGCCGGGAAAAGCCCACCTTGGAATTCCATGGTTCTGCCATGGCAGGTGGCGCACAGGTGTGTGGGCTCAGAGTGTGGACATCTCCCTCGATGTGCCCCTGAGGCTTGGGTACAAGTGCTAGAAACAAGATGAGATGCAAGTTGTTGTCTTGCTCTTTCCAGCTTCTCTTTGATTTCCTGGCCTTTAAAAACGATATCAGTTTCTGGAAGAAAAAGAAGAGCATGATCGGCATGTCCACCAAGGCAGGTGGGTGACCAGACTGCACTTTGCTGCTGGGGGGACCAGTCTCAGGGTTCACCTGAAGCCCACAGTTGGCTATAGACTGTGGTAGGTGCTGCAGACATTGCCCCAGGCTAATGTGAGTTCTTGAGAAGCTCTTAGTTTAAGCATCCTAAAACCTAGGCAGCCCTCATGATGATTACGGGCTGATGGCCAAAGGCACCTGCACCTCTCCTGGGTGCTCATGGGACTGAGATGGAGATGGGATGTACGTCACCACCCTGCTTCCCTGGCCACCACCTCCAGCCTGCCTGTCCTCCCCTGCCCACTGCAGGCCTGTGGTATGTGCCCTGTGGGTGGTAGCAGGTGGTTGGCACATGGATGCAGTGGTGGATGGTGTATGGGAGGGATGCACAGCTACATAGCCATCAGGTTGCTAGATAGCCAGACCCGAGCCAGTGTCTTCAACCGAGAAAGTTTTGTCACACGGAAAAAACATGCCCAAGAGGGTGGTCCTAAGTGTCCTGGCCACTCAGGTGGCCCTGATATGTCACCAGGGACTCAGGGGCGCTGTCCTGTCCTGTGCTACTGTCCTGGGAGGGGAAAGGGCTTTCCTACACCTCTGGCTTTTTGGGCATCCCAGGTGGGGGAGGTCAGCAGGCAGCAGTGCAGCCACGACCAGGTATCCTGTGGTTGTGGGGTCTGCTTCTTTTGTCTGCACAAAGCAGGGGGGAGGAAGAGCTTAAAAGATGTATTTTGGGTGGCACCTGTGGTTCAAAGGAGTAAGGCGCCAGCCCTATATGCCAGGGGTGGTGGGTTCAAACCCAGTCCCAGCCAAAAACTGCAAAAAAAAAAAAAAGTGAATTTTGAAATTCAGCTTCAAAAGAAACGCATCTCCCAGAGCTTGTGCAGAGGTGTGGGGTGTGATGTGAGGATACGAAAGGGCAGCCTCACCTGCTCATGCCTTTGTACACGTGGCTCAGGTGCACATGTACCGGGCTCACCTATGGCAGAACAGTCAGTTTTTTGCCTTTAATAGTCTTGTCATGGCGTTTTCTGTAGCCACGTAGTGGTCCACATTCTTTCACTGATGGGGATTGGGGGGCACACGGGGACTGCCCTGCACTCCCCAATTGGCTCCTATCCCCAGTGCTCTGGCGCTGCTTCAGCACGGTGGTCATCTTCCTCTTTCTGCTGGATGAGCAGACTAGCCTGCTGGTGCTGGTCCCTGCAGGTGTTGGAGCCGCCATTGAGGTAAGTCCTGGGCCCTGCCCCGGCACTGGGTAGACCACCTGGGGACCTCGCCAGAGCTATTCCTGGCAGTGATAGTGTCGGCATTCTGGAAACACTAAGGAATGGGAGGCAGCCACCATCCAGAGCCTTTGGGGGGGGGGGGCGGCGTGGAAGTAGAGTTTCTGGTTGCTCAGCTGCTGCGGTCACCCATCAAGCCAAGTGTTTTACCATATTTAGTAAACCCTGTGGGCTTCAGGAGGCTCGTGCTTGCTGGGGCTGAGGCTCAGCAGCTGCAGCAACTTGGTACACTGTCGTCCAGTTTGGTTGGTTGGAGACTTACAAAAGGGAGCCTCGTGGGGCAGAGTGCTTGGGAACCAGCCCTCCGGGGAACCTCTGCACACCCACCACCCTGAAGGGGAGCAAGAGTCAGCCCAAGGTTCTCCTGTTTCCCCCATGGCTGCTGGTGCCTATTCAGAGGAGCTTAGTGGATGACCTCCATGGTCATAGTTGGTGTGAGAACACGTCTCAGCAGGGTACTAGTCCTGAGCTCAGCAGGTGGTGCCAGCTGAGGACATGGGATTGGGGGTGGGTCCCAGAGAATGTCAGAAACAGACTTGGGATCTGCCAGGTACCCCAAGAAGGAAGTGGAGATCATTTGGGGGAAGACTGGGTAGCTCAGAGAGCTGAGAACAGGCCAGGCTTGAGTGCTGGCTGTTTGCGCCCCCCTGAGCAGATAGCCTGCTAAGCATCAGGAGAAAGGGCAAGAGAGCCAGGACACCCCCAGCCTGCTTGAGCGATGGGGCACCTTGGTGGGGCACACAGGTAGCCTGAGTGCTTTACACCTGGGCTTGAGACCTACGCTGACTGTCTAGGTAGTTCTGTCTGGTGTCCCTTCAGCCTTGGTTTCTGAAACACTTGATTCCCCAATTTCCTCCTTAGCTTTGGAAAGTGAAGAAAGCTCTGAAGATGACTGTTCTTTGGAGAGGCCTGAGACCCGAGTTTCAGGTAGGGTCTCTGAGATGCTGTGTTCATGCCTGCCTGGTTACTTGTGTCCTGTTTCTTAGTTGCACCCTGGTTAGGTGCTGACCTCTGAGGGCAGGGGGTCATTCAGTACTGTTGTTTACTCTCTCCTGTTGCATGCGGGTCAATGTGGCTGAGAAGACAGACAGGGTCAGAGTTTCCCACATGCTGGGGGACTCTGCAGGCCTCCAGCTCACAGGCCTCCCTGGCTGGGTGCTGCTGGCCTCTGACTGCAGCTGGCTCCCATCCCAAGACTTGGTTCTGAGGTTGGTGGAAGCAGAGCCGGCCTGCTGGAAAGAGGGTCCTGGCCTGTCCTGCTCAGTTGCCTCCCAAATATGGTGCCCACTGCTATTGGGTGCATTTATCCCCAGTTTCTCTTTATCACTAAGACTCCCAGGCTGGTTGGGGGTAGGGTCAGATGACAGCACTGGCAGTTCACACTCAGGGGGCTCGCTACTCTGCATGGAGGATCTAGGCTGAGGTGGGACCCTCAGGAGTACTGGGCCCACTTTTCTAGACCATGAGCAGATACAGGACAGAAAGTCAGCAAATGCAACGTGTCCTGTAGTTCAGTGTCAGCCCAGCAGTGCCTCCCCTTTCTGGTGTGGGGCAGTGTTGTGTCTATACAGGGAGTGAAACACTCAAAACAGAGTTCAGCGGAGGGATGCAGGAAAGAGTCTGTGGGAGGAGCCTGCACACCTCTGAGCCCTGCCACGTGTTTGTTGGTGGCTTGTTCCACCTGCGTCAGTGCTCCCGCACACAGAGCCGGGCAGGGGCAGTTGGCCATGGCTCTCTGAGCTTCACAGCTGCGTGTGACACTCTTCATTCCCAGCTGAGCTGTGGTCAGACCCCTGCCATTCAACTGACATGGTCTTGAATTTCACAACAGTTCGGCTCCTACAGTGAATCGGAGAGGAAGACCGAGGAATACGATACGCAGGTAAGTGGCAGGGGACAGGTGTGTGTGTGCTCAGTAGCCAGTCCTGGGTGCTGGCATTCACAATGCTGTTGTTCGGTGAAAAAAACAGCAGCAAACACCTAGCACAGTGCCAGGTGTGGTGGCTCACACCTGTAATCCTAGCACTTTGGGAGGCCGAGGTGGGAGGATCGCCTGAGCTTACAAGTTCAAGACCAGCCTAAGTTAGAGCAAGACCCCATCTCTTAAAAATAGCTGGGCATTGTGGTGGGTGCCTGTAGTCCCAGCTACTTAGGAGACTGAGGCAAGAGAATCGCTTAAGCCCAAGAGTTAGAGGTTGCTGTGAACTGTGATGCTAGGGCACTCTACCCTGGGGGACAAAGTGAGACTCTGTCTCAAAAAATAGATAAATAAATAAACACCAAGAAGGTGGGGTTCCTGCTGTGATGACCTGGTGCAGAAATCGTTTCTTTGGAATTATGTTCAGCCCACCTTGAGCTAGGCAAATCCTCTGAACTTAAGTTTCTTAACTGGGAAGAAAAGGGACTCAGATGGTCTTGGCAGGTAAAACCATGCCTGTGTCTTTTGAAGTGTCAGGAGTGGTTTTATTTGTAAAATCACACCTTCAAGGCACCCAGCTCATTGCCATGGTGCATGCTATGATTGCCACCAACCAACCTGTTGTTACCAAGACCTCTTTGGATCTGTGTCCTGGAGGATGGGCCCAACTTCACAGTGGTGACTTTACCCCACTGCTGTCAGGCTGGGAGTCTCAGTTGACTTCTGCACAGGAATGGTTTTAGTTTCTTGGTTTAATGATAATCAAATTACAGTCTAGGTTTTATTGAGATTGTAATAAAGCTTAAATCAGAGTAAATACATTTAGCGATGTACGTACATTATTACACATCAAAGGCAGTCTCAATACATAATTCCAGAAAAGCGCCTTGAGATCCCTTTCTGTTATATTTATTGATCTGTTGTAGGGTGGTTGGTTGGTTGGTTTTTGATGAGCCAGTATCAATTACAGTGTGAACTGAGGTCCACAGTTTACATTTGGGCTTGCTCTTGGCAGTGACCTCCCGTGATTTGGAATTGGATCCACCAGCACCATATTGTCCAGGGCAGCTTCACTGTCCTCCCTGCCATGGGCTTCCTTTTTTTTTCGTCCGTTCCTGTTGTTGCCGAGCTCTTTTAAACACTTGTGCAGGGTCTGAGTTGTGGTGTGTCTGACTGGGAGCTTATGTGGGGTCTGGTGTATCTGACTGGGAGCCTGTGTGGGGTCTGAGGTGAGGGGTGTCTGACTGGGAACCCCTCCCTTGCAGGCCATGAAGTACTTGTCTTACCTGCTATACCCTCTGTGTGTCGGGGGCGCCATTCTACTCTCTCCTAAACATCAAGTATAAGAGGTAGGGCAGCTCACATACCTCGTGCTTTCCTGTTTTCAGCTGAAAAATCCATTTTGATTACTGAGCTCGGAGCAAACTCTGCTGGTTGCTGGGTGCTGTGTGCAAGTGGCTTCTCTCGTCCCTGCCCCTGCTGCTGTGCAAGGCGAATGCTATGCCTTAGTCTCCTCCCCTGTGATGAAGACCTAGCTCCAGCCCCTGCAAGCTCTCAGGAGCAGGTGTCAGGGTTCAGAGGCACAGGCCCAAGCAGAGAAGGGGCTGGGTTTGTGACCCAGTGTCCCAGGCAGAGGTACCATGAGGGTGTGGGGGTGTTTGTAAGAGGATGTTTAGGAAGGAGTTGAGTTGATTTAACACAGGCATTAAGAGATATGGGAAACTGGACTGTTGTGACACTCCCACCTGTTTTTCCATTCCAGCTGGTATTCCTGGTTAATCAACAGCTTTGTCAATGGTAAGTCCATGTGTCCCCATATAGGACAGTTTTTGCTACAGATGCCACCTTTATTCCTGCTTTGTGACCCCGGGTGACAGGCTCCCTGTGATTCAAGGCTGATCCCCCACGTACCCCCATCCAGGCACTTCCTTGGGGCTTGATGCTCACACCACAGTACTGCCTAGTCTGGGCCACAGGTGCCTGATCTGAGGGTCCAACACATTGGTTCCCCTAGGTTGGAGCTGAGAGTGAGTGCGGGCAGGTGTCACTTCACAGTGCGGTAGGGCCTGAGAAGCACCTCTAGATGATCTTGGGGTGTGAACACCACAGAGCGAACTCACATAGCCCAGGAGGTGTGGCTTCCAACTCACCCAGTCTGCATGAGAGCACACCAGGGCTAAGCAGCATGGCCTACATGTGGTTCCTCAAGCTGCAGGAACTGAAGACTGAAGCTGCAGGCATGTGGCTGTCTTTAGCCTCAGGCCCAGGGCCTGTCTGAGGCAGCACTGTGCTGCCCAACTGCCACCCCACAAGTCCCATAGTGCCCTGCACCACCAGGATGCAGCCCTAGAAGGCTCTGGTGCTTGGTATACACTTGAACCCTGGAGCAAGAGTTTCGCGAGTCGCAGAGTTCTGCTCTCCCCTCGCAGTCAGTTCTTAGCAAATTTGCTGCATCACACTACACAGAGCCCTAGAGTTGTCGGGTATGAGTATCTGCCGACTACATGCAGACTTGGGGCCACGAGCACTGGGCCTCATGTGCACCGTCTCTCTCCACAGGCGTCTATGCCTTCGGCTTCCTCTTCATGCTGCCCCAGCTCTTCGTGAACTACAAGGTAAGGCCTTGCGGCTCTGCCCGGACGTGGCACCTGTGATCTGTGCTGCCTGCTCCTGACTGGTGTGTGTCCTGTCGCAGATGAAGTCGGTGGCGCACCTGCCCTGGAAGGCCTTCACGTACAAAGTAAGAACCTCCAGAAGGGTCTGCTCCCTTTCGAGCAAAGTGGCTGAAGATACTTTCCAGGCAACATTGTCATAGGAGTCATCTCTACTCAAAATACTTTTGGTGGCCTGTCATTTTTATTGAAAAATGTTAAGGGCTCTCCTTTAAAAACTGTGAAAAGCCATAGAATAACTTTGAAAAAGCTCTGAAAGACCAGTTCTCTGTTGGAGTAACAAGACATTTTTTGAGTTAAAAGCTATGTTCCTTCTTGGCAATGTGAGCCACAAAACAGACCTCCTACCCCGGCCCAGGCGCCCAGGTGCAGGCCACTGTGCAGAGCCGAGTGGTGCCATCCAGCACTGCAGGTGCCCCAACTCAGCATGGAGTGGCAGGGTTGGTGGTATGGGTGGAGCCGAGGTGAGATGGGACATAGTTACAGTTTCTGAAGTAGATTTGAAAGCTCCAAGGGAGTTGAGGACAGTGACCATTAGGCTGTGGAGGCGGGTGAGCTGGGTCCCTGGGAACATGAGAGGTCAGCAGGAGAGTTGAGCGCTCCTCTACTCACCGGCTTCCTGCTGCCCCGCGGCCCTTTGCTCGCTCCAGCCCCCGGGCAGGGCTCACCTTCTCGTGGGGCTCCACAGGCCTTCAACACCTTCATTGACGACGTCTTCGCCTTCATCATCACCATGCCCACATCTCACCGGCTGGCCTGCTTCAGGGATGATGTGGTGTTCCTGGTCTACCTGTACCAGCGGTGGTGAGTATGTGTTGTGCACGCCAAGCCCAGGCCACCTCTGAAGTGTGGCACTTCTGGGTAACACCAGGACTGCTTCCTCAACACCCTGCGCATGCCTGTCCATGGGGGACAACAGCATGCCGGTTTTGGTTTTCCTTTTGCTGGAACTTGGGTCCCAGTTGCGTGAGCTGTGATGTAGCAGGAAACTATCCCTGCTCTGTTTCGTTGTTGTGCGTTAGTCGTGCTTACTCTTGTGTGAACTGTGTTTAGCCAGTGCGGGCATGTTTGTGTCCCTGGGATATTGGCGAATTCACAGCCATTGCTGTGTAGCAGCAACAGTGCCTGGCCAGGCTCAGCCTCATCCCATGTTCTGCCGGCAGACACTGAGCCTGGGTCCTCAGCATTGAGAGCAGCCTCTGGGTCCCGGGCCCTACAGGGTAGAACATTAAGAGCTGACTCACTCAAGCATTATCTGTACCTATAAAGCAGTCTCTAGGACCTGGAGGCCAAGTTGAGTCTCCCTCCCAGCCAAGGAAAAGTTTTCTAGAAAGTTTTCTACCCACATCCCCCAGGGCTGGTATCTGTCCTTCCTGTCAGTTGGGGCTGCCCCGCCTCTGTGCTACTTGCAAGGTGGGAGGCCAGGCCTTCCCTGGGAAGGGGCTGTGTCTTAGAGCACTGCAGAGACTTACAGGATGCAGCTGTGCCTACTTGGTCCAGCCCGGCATGTCCTAGTGAGCAGGAGGGGCTTCTCTGCAGGAGGTAGGCGAAGCCCCAGTGCCTGTTGCCTAGGGCGTGTTCCCCACGGCCCCTCTTGGGGAGCCCTGTCCAGGCCCTGGACCACCTTCCTAGGAGAAGCTGTGCCTTTCCACAGGGCAGCTTTAGGCTCTGGCCCCATCAATATTGGTATCATTCTGTGTGTGTCTGACTACTCTAGTACATTCTGTCCCTGTGTGCAGTGGGAGAAATGGGCCACGTCCTAGCCCTGCTCTTGTCCCAGCAGCTGCTGGTCCACCCAGCACACCCTGTGCTGTTCCAGGGCGGCCATTTCCTGGGTGCCCCAGTGTCCATCTCTAAAAGCAAGGGCTTCCCATAAACATGCAATGTACAACCACACGGCACTCAGGTGGTTCTCTCAGTACCCCAGTATTGAGGCCCACCCTTTGGTTCCTTCATCCCCTAAAGGTAGAGAATGAGCCCTGGCAACACGTTGATGCTGCAGTGGCTGCAGTGGTCATTATCCATGGGGCCCCTCTCAGGATCTCCTGAGGCTCTGTGCATCCTGGAGACCCAGAAGGTCTTCACCTTGGTGTTCAGGCACATGGGTCAGGTCCTGACAAATGGCCTTTGACTGGGACCCTAGGGTTCTTAGTGGGAAATGGGTCAGTTCTTAAAGCTGAACTGTGGCCATGTAACTCCAGGCAGCAGGTGCTGTGTCCTGTCATGCCTCGGCTTCTAACCTGGTGACCAGGGTGGCACAGGCAAGGCCCCCTGGGGAGTCTTGGGCTAGAGGGAGCAGTCCCTGCAAGTGCAGCACTGAGACCCTGGGAGGCCAGAGGTGGCAGCTGGCAGACGAGGCTGTGGCTGCCCCCTCATCTGAGGCAGAGTTTTGTAGTTCCCTGCAGTCGTGCTGTGATCCACTTATGTCCTCATTGCAGGCTTTATCCTGTGGATAAGAGCAGAGTAAACGAATTTGGGGAGTCCTATGAGGAAGAGTCTGAGCGGAGGCCACATGCAGACTGAACGCCACCCTGACGCTGGGTTGCCCATGCTGCACAGAGCTTGCCTGTCAACTGAGTATTTTTGGAAGTTTTTGGTGGAATTCCCTACACATTACATCTGCGTTGCCAAAATCCCTTTGAACATTTCTCGTACTTCTCCTGAGTCCCTCTGTGTTGGATGTGGAAGGTGCTGGCCACATGTGGGGTGCTGCACACATGTGAACATCTCTTGGCCACAGAGCTGGGTTCCAGGGGCCACCTGGGCTACGTGGCCCTCCCCCGGAAGCAGTGTACATGGCGGCTGGGTGGTGCCATGTCCCTGCACCCAGCACATGCCAGAGCCCTTCCAGGCAGGAAGGAGAAGGTCAGAGCTCCATTTCAAGTTGTTTTTTTAAGTGTTCCTTATGTGAATTTTAATGCATATGGAAATTCATTCCATATGGACTCTGGGATCAACTGGCTTTTCCCCTTTTGTTTAAAGGTTGATTGTTTTAAAGCTTTATGTATGTTTCTACTTTAAAATAAATTTTTCTGGCTGTGGAAGTATGTCAGGTATTTACCTTTTTCAAGGAAGCAACACAAAGTAGATTTATTCATGCATCAGAAAGAAAATGCATAGAGATTCCCCTAAGCCTTGATTTATGAAAGTTCTTAACACATAGGTCTCAGCCATTCCAGCCCAAAGCATTATACAGAGTTACGACTGTTCAGATTAATCACATCTCTATTAGGAGAAATACCCTGGTGAGAGCAGAAAAAGGAGAATATGAAGGTGTGTTTTGAAGACAGGTAGAGAGTCCAGGATTTAGTGGGTAGCAAAGTTTGATCATGTTCAGTGAAATGAAGTTATTGGGATTGCAGTTTGCAGAGTGTGCCTTTATCAGGGTGTGTTTCAGGGCCCTGCTCTTGGCTCAGCTTGTGGCACTTTGGCCTCTCTCACTCACAGGCTCAGAGCCTTTCTTCTTAGGCCAGGCCCTTTGATTGTCCAGCACTGAACCAGGGTTTGCAGGAGGCCTGGCCTTTGTGGGGCTCTCTCGGGACACTTAAACTGGGCTGTATTATGTGAATGATGTGCCCGATTCCAGGGTGTTCAAACTCAAAAACAAATCTGGGTACCTATCAGGAAATCACTGGATCACAGGTATGTTGTAAATTTCACTTAGTAGTTTGAAAGAAAAACACATTGGTTTCAAGTTGCCATATTTTAATATTATCAGTTAGAATGCTAGGGCAAATACTTGGTTTTACAACTGGTCACTTAGATGAGGCCCACACAGAGAATATGGGAAGGTATGGAGCTTGTTTCTCTCATGGGTCATGGGTCAGAAGGCTGCAGGTGGGCCCATCACAGATGCACCTGATCCCCTGGGCAGGATGCTCACAGCCTGTGTGTGGGGACTTGGGGCATCAGGAAAGTAGGAAATTTTTAAAACTCGCAAGAGGCTTCCTAGGCCCAGTGCCTTTACCTGGGGGCATGTAAACAGGACCCCCGTGAGCTCTTGTCATGGAGGAGGGAGGCTGAACCTTATGGCTGAGCCCTGGAGGGACTCATTTGGCACATGTTGATATGCCAACAGTCAAGCGTTCACGGAGGGAGGACTGTTAGGAAACTTCACTGCTGAGCAAACAGTGCCTGGCTTTGCCCAAGGGTCCCAGGGGCAGGTCCCCAGCATTGGCCATTGTTTCTCTGCCCTGGGTAAGTGAGCATATGTGGCTCAGCTCCCCTAAAATGACCTTGTGTGCAACCTACTTTCTTTCGTTAGCCTGAAAAATGTCAGGCTTAGATACTTTGCTACTCTCATTTTTCAGTTTTAACATCAAAACTAGTTACTACAAGGACTGTTACTTTTGCTGTAACACCTGCTGCTTGTTAGCTGATGTGTTCTAGAAAGGCGAGCGCAGGAAGCTATAAACCTAACCACAGATAGTGCTTCCCAGAAGGTCCTCTGGCCTGGGCAGCCCAGGGCAGCCGAGTGGGAAGTGCTACCATCTGCTCTGCAGCCTCGTCTTGGCACTTCCACACAATTGTCAGTGACACTTGGAGCTAGTTCCTTTTCACCCTGCAAAGAACATGACACGTGGACCAGCTGCTACTTGCAGCTGCTGAAATCACATTCTTTTTTTTTTGTAGTTTTTGGCCAGGGCTGGGTATGAACCTGCCACCTCCAGTATAGGGGGCTGGTGCCCTACTCCTTTGAGCCACAGGCGCTGCCCTGAAATCACATTCTTTTTTGAAGAAATGATTAATCAGTACCAAGTTCCAGGTTGTCCTTTGTAAGGTGCAGCTGGTCACGTGTGTTAAATCACTGTTCCCCGGGCCTGGTGCCTGCCTTTCCCTTTCTAGGATGAGCAGAAGTTGAAGGAAAACGAGCCAAGGATGAGCTCTTCAGGGCCTTCTGGCTTTGGAACTCAAGTCTGTTCTCAGCACGGGCTCCCCCATGGTGGTTCTGTGTGTGGGCAGTGTTCTAATGCACACCTCTGGGTCTTAGACATACTGAGAGCAGGATCATGATGCCCTCAGTGCCCGGGAGTGAGGTGGGCTGGGGCTGCACATGGGTGTTTTCTTGAGATTTCATGGTTCTTCTTCACATCCAGGCCATGTCCCCCGTGGCAATCACAGGTGAGACTTGGAAGAGCATTCCAAGTATCAGTGTGAGTATGTGCGGAACCCTGAAAAGATGTGGTTGGCATCTGTGCAGTAGGGGCTGGGAGAAGGTGGAGGCCTAGAAGCCAGCAAGCACCCGGAGCCCACAGCAGGTGGAATCTCCACATCCCAAACCTGACCAGTCAGCTCCAGACCCAGGCAGGATGGACCGCTGCTCCCAGCAACGGCTGCCCTTAATGCACGTGGGCATCCCCACACCCTGGCACTGGCCACTCATGTTATAGAAGATACTTTCTTCAGGTTAATTGAAAAGCTCAAATATAAGGACAAACAGCCCCGGCTCAGGAGCTGTCTGCCCACCCATGGCCCATAGAAACCAATTCGGGGGTTGTCGGGTCTTTGGGAAGACACCAGCTCTGTCCACTGGGCTCAGCCTGGGTGCTTCCTGTAGGCTAGGAGTCTGGGGAGGGGGTTGCCAACAACAGGTGCAGTAGAAGCCCTGGCAAAGCTGGGCATGTTCTGGGGCAATGAACACACCCCTCTCCTAAAGACCTTGAGTGATGCCAGGCTGCCCAGGTCCCAGAAGCACTATAGGCAAGCATCCTTTGGATACCCCCACCCCTCTCTGCAACTGGCTTCAAGGACACAGATTCATTTTCTTACAATTGGGAGGCCAGAGCCCCCCCTCCAAAGCTGCACCCATGCACTCCCTGGCCCTGGTCACATCCCTGCTGTCCTCTCCTCTGGGATTCTGTCAGACCTGTGGGATCACCAGCCTGCTCTGTGGCCCAGGGTCTGCATTTGCCCTGTCTGAGAGCCATCCCACCGTACCAGGCCACCCACGCCGGGGGCTCCATGACATCCAGACTGGCTTCCGTCCTGCTGAGCGGACTCAACCTGTAGGCTGGGAGGTGAGCACTTCAAACCTTCCCATGACAGATGTGCCCTACACAGCCCTGCGCCTCCCCACATGTCCACCCTTGAGTACCAGCCACCATGTCACCCCTCATGGCCCTCCCAGTGGCACCACTCTGGTGACCCCCCATCCCTGACAGCTATGGCCAGGCCCACATGAACGGAGCCCGCCTTGGGACCTGGAGCCATGCTTGACTCAGAGTTGTGTCTAATGTTTATCAGAGTGCTGCCCTAGTTCTTACTGTGCTTCTGGGCTGTGTTCCATGAAGTGAGTAGACCACAGTGTACCTGCCTGAAGGTCTTCTCTGTGGGGCCATGGTGGACACAGTTGCCCTGCACGTGTGGGGTCTGGACTCAGGAGGGACAGGGCTATCGTGGAGCACATGTCGGCTCCAGCTGATACTTTCAAAGGGATGGTGCCCACGTGCACGTCCACCATTAAGTGTGAGAGTCCCATTTGCACCACACCCTCCCCAACACAGCCTTGCTGTCTCTTTAATTTTAGCCATTTGGGGGGAGGGAGTGTTATCTTTTTGAGGCTTTAATTTGCATTTTCCTGATGACTCCAGATGCTGAATGCCTTTCTGTGTCTGTTGTGACCTTTGGGTGTCCTATGTGAAGTACCCCGGCCATGTGCAGTGAGGCCGAGAGCATTTCCTCTTTCTGTTTTCCAACGTCACCAGTGAAGGGCTTGAGGGTGTGGCTGGTTAAGGCACCTGGACCTGAGGGCTCCTGTGCGGGGTGTTTGCTTACTCCTGATTCTGTTTCTGTGACTTCAGTGGTTCTAACACTACACGGGTTTTCTGTTTTCCCATGAAGTGTTATTACCTTGTTTATTTAAAGAACTTGTCCGTTTGATCTAAAATTTCAGTTGTGCTGGCATGGAGTTGTTCCCAAAGTTCTCAGGTTTTGTCGGGTCTGTAGCAGCCCCACAGACTGAGTGTCTTCACTGAGACTCACCGTCCCAAAGTCTGGAGGCTGGAGTTCTCCACCAGGGTATGAAGGGCTGGCTCCACCTCAGGCTGCTTGAGTGGGCCATGCCCGTCTTCTCCTGGGTCTGTGCCCTCTTCCCTCTGTGTGTTTGTCTGTGTTCAAGTTTCTCCTTTTCAAGAGGTCACAGGTCATTTGGGGTTAGGGCCCACCCTAAAGACCTCATTTTAACTAAAGACATCTGCAGAGATCCCATTTCCACGTAAGGTCACATTCTGAGGTGCTAACATAAAAGCAGTATGTTGTCAGATTTCTAGCTTACATAGGAATGAAACTTACGACCACATCAGCAAAGGCCAGGAGGGCAGCCACGGACTCTCTTACCTATAAGTGAGTGATTAGACATAAACCAGCTAGAGGCTAAAGTGAGATGTTTGGCTCTGCCCTTGGAGCAACAGGTATGAAGTCCTCTTATTTGTGCTTTTCAAGGTCATTCTGGATGCCACCTGAACAATGTGGCCAACACAAGTGGACAGTCTTAGAGGTTTGTTGCATAAACCCAAGTGAGAGGTGACAATGCCCAACTACGGTGTGCCATAGAGAGGAATCCCTGGCACCTCCTGGCTCATGGCTCAGGTCCTTACCTGCACAGTGGCCGAGTTGTGTCTTTTGGGAAGTTCAAGGTAAGTGCCCATGGAGAAGGCCATAGAAGCACTTTTGAGGTGAAACCTTTTGCCTCTTCTCTCTCCCCATCTCACTTGATGAGACAGAGAGCCCCACAGCCATTGACCGTCCCAGCCCCAGACCCTGGTGGGGACCCTCTCTGCAGGGCCTCACCCATCCCCAGTCCCCAAAAAGAAAAGTATGTGCAGGGCAGGGAACATTGTGGAAAGACTTAATTCTATGAGTAAATCCAAATCTTTTGACGTCCAAATGGATAATTTTATCTTACTATTTTCTTAAATTTCATCCGATAACATTCAGGAGTGTAGAAATCCAAAGACATAAAACAGGAACTGAGCTTTGTTTGCTAAGATATGAGGATTAAATAAACCACATTTGGAAGGATCTTTTGCTCTAAGTACTTTTTATTG